GAGCTCCGACCAGTCGAGCCCGTAGGGTTTGATCTCGCTGTAGCGGCACGCGAGGTACTTGAGGGACGAGCGCTGGAGGCTGATCTTGGGCTCTTGCAGGAGGCCGTTGCACCAGCTGCTGAGGTCTCCCAGCTGCGAGAGGATGAGGCCGGCTTTCCTGCAGCGAGGGCAGGCGGGGGGAGATGCCGGGGCGGGGAATGGACGGCGAGGGGGTGGCGTGGGTGATGGAGACACCACGGGGAGATGGCGGGAAGGGCAGGAGGGGCGTATGAGGAGAGAAAAGCAAAGACGGTTAAGGACGCGGCGGGAGCTCCTGGGTGGAGAAGAGACGACGAGAGAGGCGGGCAGTGAGGAGAGCGGAGGAGCAGAGCCCGGCCCCGCTGGAAGCAGGAGGGATGGCAGGGCTGGGGACACACACCGGCCCTGTGGCAGCATGTCCCGTGGCAGCATGTGCAAGTCTAAATGCACGCAGGAGCAGCCCCTGCCCCGGTCAGAGGTGCCCACACCACCATGGCGGTGCTGGAGCTGCTGTGCTGGTCTCGGGACTCGCCTTACGCTTTCCTGCCATCTCCCCCCTTCTGCTTCCACTCTGTACCATCCCCACAACACAGCCAGGTTTGCTGAGGGTTTCGTGAGGGGACAGTCATGGGGGTAGATGTGGAACCCCCAACACCCCTTGGGATGGACGTCATCAATGACTCAAACGGCACCACCAGTCACTGCTGCAGCTATTGGACCCCAAATATAACAGGATGGGAAAGTAGGAACCAACAGCACTGCAGGCAGTGGGTAGAAGTGCTAGATGGTGTCAGGCATGACACGTGTGGCCAGCAGTGGTGGCAGTGTCACCATCTGCGTCCTCTCCATGAAGCGCACGTGTTGCATGTCTGGGAACTGTGGTGGTCACTCATGGTTTGGTGTAGGACACCTCCAGCAACACGGCAGGAAGGGCAGGGAAAAGGCGGGCACGCTAGGACCATCGCTGCCTTGCCATCACGTGGCTGATGGGGACGTGATGGAGAAGAAACGCACAGTACTGGGAACGAGCATGCCAGGACACCGCTGAGCATGAAGGGGATTTAGGAAAAAACCCACTCAAAATATCATGTCTGGCTTGTGGGAGTCTGTATGGAAGGCTTGAAGATGAGATAAAAAATATGATCCTCCTAAGATGCAGTATCACAAGATATAAGTACAATGAATGACATGTACACGTACTCCTAGTACACGACTAGTAATGTTTACTAACAGCTTAGGAAACGTGTCTCACAAGACAGCGTGCAAACTTGAAGGAATATATATAATAATATGTACATGTATATAAAATATACTGAGGCATACAACATAGGCTTGATCCAAAAACCTTTGAGAGAGCAGGGGATGTGGTGGAGCTCTCCAGTTCTCTGCATGTACATTTTGCATTTTCCACTTGCAGGGAGCAAAACAAGCACCCCCCCGGGCAACATAGCCTAGGTGTGGGCTTGTTCTGGTAGCAAGAAAGTGCTAAATTACCAACCGCTCGTGTTGGATGAGATGGTGGAAGAGCACAGAGGATCCTGGCCAAATAGGACCTAAATTGTGTTCTCCTCTTCTCAAGTTTTTCCTCTTAAAATTGTGCTTCTAATGCTTTTATGAAGAAAAACAGTTTGTTCAGATAAAACATGTTATGTTCATTTTAAAGTTGTCTAGAACTTTGGGTGATCTCCAGGGAATCTGGTGAACGTGCAGGTAATGGATTCAGATGAAGCGGCTTGCAGGTGAGTATCGTATGTGCCTGGAAACCCAGACAAAAGTTTAAGCGTCTCAAGAGCCGGGATAAGTTTCCTAGCCAGCTTCAAGGGCAGCTGGTGGGTTGGTATAGACATGGAAGAGATGGTACAACCCCTTGGCAGCTGTAAGTCAGCATCTCTGTTCAGCACAGAGCAGGCAGCAGAGGCACAAATCGTGATGCTGGGGGAAAAACCCTCTTTCTCACATTCTCACTTGGACAAGCAGGGGCTGTGTGTGGAGCACATGGCTGTGCTGTGGCTGGTTTAAGAGCTCAAGGGTACGTGTACCGACCATGGAGGAACATCTGCAGCCCCACCACACCTTCCTCCAGGCCAGGTGCACCATAAGAGAGCTGCTTGGAGAGGAATTAATTTACCCCAGGCCCGTCCAGAGCCAACGTTGGCTTTCCTGGAGATTAAACCATCCAGAGGTCCATCATGGAGGTGGCTGCAGCTCCAAGGGGCCAGTCTGGAGCCACAGAGAGGTTGTCCAGCTCCACAGCCATGCGACACCTGCAGCTCCGGGGCTCACATCCAGAGCACAGCGGAGAGGTGAAGGTGCTTAGCATGGTGCTGACTCTGGAGGTAGCTGGCCAGGTCTTCCAGCTGTGAGAAGGTAGCAGACCTCTCACTTGTCTTGGTCCCTGCACAGGGAGGTGCCGTGGCTGCCTCCTCCTCCAGCGTCACAGGTACCCTAACAGGAACGTTGAATATGATCCCACAGGTTTTGGCTCAAAGCCCATAGGCACCACCAGCCTTTGCGCCAAACCTTACTTTCACTTATTACTTGCTAGAAAACGACTTGCCTTCCTCTCCGTTTCTCGTCCTTATGCAAAGCCCAGGGCTCTCTGCAGCCCTTCTGAGACCTGGAGGGAGCGACGCGCTTTCGTAAGCCCAGACAAGTTACCTGCACGCACCCTCGCTTCCTTCGGTCCGGTGGCCAGCGTTGCCGAGAAGGGAGGCGAGCGCGCCCCAAGCGAGCAGAGCCAGAAGGCGGCACGGAGGAGGAGGAGGGACATGGTAGACTCAGTCGCGTGGGTCCACATCCAGGACTTCAAAGGAGCATCAGCAACAGTCAAACAAACACTGTCTGCTGGCTAAATAATGTCATCTGCAAGTGATTTGTCCTGTCACCACCAGTCTGGATGCTTCGCCCTCGCAGATGATCAAACAGGAGGTCTGCTTTCCAAGATTTGTCATCACCAGAACCCACTGCAGCTGCCTAAATGCCTCTTTCCAAGTAGTGCGAGCTGCAAACACTTCATCAGCAACTTGCGTCATCCCATCCAGCATTTCCAGAGGGTGGAATTAACGCTCTGGCTCATAGATTCACGCAGCAAGTGGTAACGTTTTGGCAATTCGCTGGCATTTCTGGCGGCTCCATGCCAACATACCTCTGTTTCACAGAGCTCAAGGAGGCAGCTTCCACCCCATGTTCTGGCTGGTCCTTGGTCTCCTCGCTGAGGCAGCAAGTGGCGACGGCAATGCCCAGCCTTGGCGACGGCAGTGGCTGTGTGACGACTCCAGTCTGTCACTTACTTAGGGAATTTTATGTGCTCCTCACGCAAACCATCGCAACAGATGTCAGATGGTCTGTGCGAACCGGGGCTGGATTTCACATCTGGAAATGGAGACAGAGCGGCATCGCCGCAGCTGGGCTCGAGATGAAGATGAGATGTTAAGTCCAAGCCTGCCGGTCCCAACTGGTGTCGTGGGAATGAAGCAACCCTGGGCAGAGGAGCTGGTGGGAGCCTCAGCCTTAAGAAGCCTCCGTGCACTGGGATGTCGCTACTGAGCTTTGAGGCAACTGCCTCGAAGAGTTCAAATGTCTTAGAACAAAAATGGGAAAAGGGGAAAGAGGAGAGACTGCAGCTTTGCCCCAAGGAGCGGAGGATGCTTTGGGTGCTTCCCACCAAAGCTGAACTAGGAGACAGGCTTAAGAGACACTAAATGCAGTACAGCCACCTGTCTGTCTGTGCTGAGTTTTTCTAACGTCCTAGCAGAGATTTGGAGGACAGAGAAGGTACAAGGAGCACATCCCATCCTCTGCTAGAAATCCACAGCGATCCCAGGGAGAAGCGGGGCTGGAAGGCAGCTAGTGGTGAGCCTGGCAAGAGGAGGTGTGCAGCAAGGGGGTAAGGTGGAGGCCCTGCATTTCATAGACAGGAGCCGTTGCTGACGCACATTTGAAGTAATCCTGATTTCCGGATGGGCTCAAGGCTCCGGTTCTTTGGAGGCCAGACGCTATGAAACATCATTACAGCCCACACAATCTCCCAGCCCAGCTTGCCTAACTGACTGGAAACATCCATGTTACTGGGAAACTACGCAGACAAAAGCAGACGTTGAAGGACATGGGGAGAAGGGAACATCTGGCTGCCTCCTCAAGCCCGGGGCATGAGGCACCCCATCCCCAGGCAGCTGAAGGGGTTGCAGTGACCTGGAGGAGCCCAAGGAGAGGATGCTGACTGAGGCATGGAGGAACTGTTTCAGCCAGGAAGGGCTCAGAGCAACCCCCTCTAAAATGTGCCATGGTAGCTCAGCACCACTTCGGGCACCAAAAAACACTCATGTCCCTGAGATGACCCCACATGACCACAGACATGGATCAAAAGGGAGAGAACACATGCAATTCAGACCCAAGGTCAACCTACTGCCTGGTTTGGACCACAAATGACACTGAGTTCAACACACAGAGATGCATTCAATTCAAGCCAAAACCCAGGAAAATGAGGAAAGCCAAGTCTGACCTTGGAATGGCCCAGCACATGTATGTGTGTTTGCACGCACCTCATCCAAGCTCTTCTGTGTCAACTTCTCCAGCAAGGTATAACCACCTCCTCACACCTTCTTCCCACCATCAATGCCCAGGGCTCTTCTCTAAAAACACACTCCGACCACACTCCCTCCCCTTCTCACCTGCAACAACCACCATTCCTCAAAGGCGCACTATTTTCCAAGCCCTCCTACCTTTTAGCCTGTGGCAGCACCTACTGAGGGAAAAAGAGAATCCCACCCCCTTGGCACCCTGCAAGGCATGAGCGGACTAGGCAAAACTCCAGAGATAGTATAGTGCTGGTGGGATGAGCAAGGATGATGGGTTGACAACAGCCTACCACCTTCCACCTTGTCCTATGTTTATGGTCCTTCAAAGGAGATGGCTGGACCCCAAACATATGCACAGCACCCAGCAAAACAGGAACCCCACTGTGAGACTCTAAGCTCTATCATCAAATAAATTCATGAGATTTGCCAGAGAGCCACCTTCCTGGTGACCAACATCTTCGAGGGATAAGCATGTTGGTGGGCAGGCCTGCCTGCCTAGCCAACCCACCTCCCGAGCCTACCTGGGTCCCAGCTCATCTTCACAGCGCCAGGTGAACTCCCCAAAGCTCTCATAGTGCTGGTTGTAGTGGTAAAGTACTCGGTGCAGGCTGGGGGAACCCAGGTCCAGCAGAGTGTTGTAGGCTGTTTGCTGCTCCTTGCCGCTGGTATAGCCGTTGAAGAGGTTGTAGATCTTGTCGGCTATTTCTGGGCAGGACGACAGGGCGTATTCAGTGGGGTGCAAGGAAAAGCATGAATAAAGCCCACCAGGCTAAAGCTCAACTCTAGAGAAACCAAGACCAGAGCCAAGATTTTTCCCCTGAGTTATGATTTCTGTCATATCAAGACAAGGTCCCAATGGAGGAGCAACGGAGCAGATGGCATTCCCCAGATTCCGTCCGGGTTAGGTTCCCATAGTTTGGTCCCATTAGGAAAAGAAACAGGTGGTGTCATCAGGTACTATTAGTGAAATATCATTTATTTACGAGAAGGCACACAAATGGGGTTTCTTGAACCACCTATGCTATCAGTTGCTTTCTGGACAGGACAGGCAGGCCTTCTTGGCTATTTTGGTACGTCCCGAGTACTTGCCCCTCCACCCATCCTCCCACCAGCACAGAGTGCCTCTGTGTGTGTTTGTGGAGAGGATGTGCCTCCCGCTGTCCTTCACACCAACCCTTGATACCACGTGGCAGCACCTGGGCAACCATGGGTGAAGAAAACATTACAGCCAGGTCAGGAGATGTGTGCGGGGACATGCTGGAAGGGGACATGCTGGTCCCAAGCATCACAGTCTAGCAGCTGGCTCCATCTCACCTTGAGCTTTCACATCGTCTACCACGGGACAGGGGGTTTTGACCATCACATCACTGGACCTGGAGCGTCTCCCTGTGTTGTCGACTCCCCAGAGCGTGAATCTGGCCCAGAAGGAGAAAGGTGAAGCTCTGGACTCCCAAATCCTCACGCAAACACAGGCAGCATCAAGCAGGAGCACCGCGCTCAGGGCAACGGTGCTGCCACGGGCACGGCACGAGGGAGGCAACTCACACGTAGGTGGTGTCGGGCTCCAGGCAGCGAACGATGAGGGAGATGGTGGAGGAGAGCCTGTCGGGCACTTGGGCCGGCATGGCGCAGGGTGACTTGGCTCCGGAGATGATGTCATCCACAAAGCTCAGCACCGTCTCTAGGGAGAGAGGGGAGGACACATGGCGGGCGATGACATGGAGAGCCGCTGAGGGCTGGGGCCGCGTGGGACCAAGGTTCATGCGTGAGGATGGTACAGCGGTGGACCCGTTGCTTTTCCAGCAAGGCTTATCACCATGGCGCGGGGCCGCCACTTCTGCGGCACGGTGGGCAGGGGAGGGGCTGCTTTCTCTCCCACAGGATAAGGGATATGCTGCAGCATCCCCTTGCGAAGAGGGAGACAAAGGCTATCCTCCAACATCTCCATCCCACCCTCGCCAGAGAGAACCAGTGGAGCCCCCACTCACCGGTCTCCACCTTGGAGTGGTCCATCCTATCGGTGACTTTCTCTTGACGGAGGAGGTAGTCGACGATCTGCACCCCGATGGGGGGCTCCGAGTGCCCCCACTCCAGCACCACCAGCGTGCTGCTGGGCTCGTGAACGGTGGAGAGCCGCAGGCTGGGGGGCAATGCCAGCCGGTCAGCATCTCGGGAGGGCAAGGTCTGCTGGCCACCCCCGCTGCCCACCCATGCTCACCCTCGCCCGTGTCTATCACCACCTTGCAGCTCCTCTGCCGCCACAAGAAGGCAGCAAAACTGCCAGGCTGAGGCACACAGTGTGGGAGAGATGCTGAGGACAACCCCTCCGGCCGGTCCCCAAGGCTGGTGCAGAAGGCAGTATGAGCGTGTCCTGCCCATGGCTGCTAGTGCCACTTGCTCTGCTGTGCAGACCACATGCAAACGCCCCTGAAATGAGCTGTTTTCAGTAAGGCAGTATGTAGGGACTAGTTCTGCATTACTCTCTCACAGCAAAAGGGCTTCAAATCCATTAATCCATGGGAGAGAACAAGCTCAGGAGAGAAGCAACTCCCCCTTTCCCAGCTCTGGGCATGCTGGTCCAAAGGGGCTGAACTCCTTCCCTGGGGTTGCTCTACCAGGATGGTCCAAAAACAGCTCCCCAGTCCTCAGCTGAATTTAGAAAAGACACTACATCTTTGCAACCTCTGCCAGATTTACAGGTCCCCCATCCGCTTTCAAACTTGCCCCACAAAGGCAATCCAGCCCCACCACCTCCTGCCACTGCGCCGTTGGCCATCGCTGCCTCCTCCCAGACCCATCACACCAAGAGGCTAGGCTGGGCATGCGTGGAGACCTACGTGGGGTGCGGGAGAGGTGCACAGGTGGGCAGCCCGTCAGCCCCGAAGGCACTGGAGTCACAGCGGCACCAGTCCTCGATGACATCCCCGCTGCCTGAGCACCACAGCGAGCTCATGGTGGCCTCCTGCAAGAGCTGGGAGAGAGGAGAAGGAGGTGAGCACCAGGCAGGTGAGCTCCCATCCCACTGCCACTCGTCAGCACTCATCCATTTCCCAGTGAGGGAAGCCAAAATGGTTCAGCACATCAGTCCATCCACCCAGGGGAGCAGGGCCGGCCAACAGGCAAGGGCTGCCATGGCTTGACATGATGCTACCAGGGCAAGCTACCTGCAGAGACCACCCTGATG